CTTAAAGTTGCCAAGGTTGAGGAACCTTGGAGTAGGGGATTCTGGGGACTGCTAAAAAAAAATGGCCTGAGGTGCCTGGGGCTCACAGAGCTGCAAACTGCCAGTCCAGCCTTATGTACAAACAGTATTATTTTTTTCTTAAAACATATTATTTTAATGAACAAATTTTATAATTAAATATTTGTATTAATTATATTAATTAATATTTATATTAAAATATTAAATGCACATGCATTGGATGGAAATGAATATGGTCCACAAAAGCTGAGGCTACAGTAAAACTGCTATAAGTGAAGCACAACTTTGTGGTTCAGATGTGTTGAGTTCCTCACCTGTTCCAGTTGCTGGAAGATGAACTTCAACAGGGCAGAAATGAATTTGCACTTTGCGGCAGGCCCGGTCTGCTAGGATGATAGAAATGGGATCAGGACGGAATGCAAAGGGGAAAATACATATTTTACTTTTATATCAAAAGAAGCAATAAACTGAATTCCTTTGAGTTGGCTGCTTTGGTGCAAATGAAGCCCTTTGTACTATTTATTACAGTCATATGAGTTACTGAAATAGATATTTGCCTTTACAATGTAGGGTTCCCTTCTTGCGAGTGATGTATTAAAAGTTTAATAAATCATCAGCCTGCTCCCCCAACGTAATACGTCACATCAAGGTACCATCTTTACAATCAGTTTCCCATTAGCAAACACAATGTATTCAAATATTGCACTAAGCCATAGCTTGCTTTAATCATGATTAAGATGATGTCCCCACTCACACTGTGAAATGTATGAAATGCTGAATGGATAAATGTGTTCTGCTAACATGGAGAAACTTTCCTAAACTTATTTCACTGTGAGATTAAAAGTTATCCTTCCTGTCTCGACTGTGAGTGCTCCTCTGTAATTGAGACTCCAAGAAGTGCAAAGGGGTCCTCGTATTCATTCTTTTGGCAGTCACCGTTTCAAACTTTGGCAGAAGCTCAGCCAAGATCTTCCAAGAAGAAGTTTCTGCAGGTTTTAATCATGAATAAAATTGCAAAAATTAAGGGCATCAGTCATGTCTTGTAATAACAGAGAACACAAGAGTAGAGTAAGATAGGGAGGCGATTCTGTTTATGCTTCCTTATCTGAGAGCAGCCTACTGAACATTTAATAGGTCTGTGTTCTAAATTAAATATCAGAATTTGATTTAGATAAATAATTTAATATTTATTTAAATTAAATTTAAATTCTCAAATGAGTATTTAAATGAATACTTATTAAGTATGTATCTAGGACTGTGAACTTAAAAGAAAATGAAAGTTCCGCATGTGTCAAGGTGTTTGTCGACATTCTTCTTCCTCCTTATTTTAGGTTATAAACACCCTGTCTGGTAATCTGTCCATGTTGCGTATATACAGTAGATTGTAGTCTGGTTCAGTGAACACCCAGCCATAATGTGATCTGCTTGGTTTGGGGAAGGAAGGTTATATGAATCTAGCCAATTGTCAACCAGGAGTGAGCCCAGCCAATCATGGTTTATTCAGTAAATCAGTGTTAATTAAACTATCACTTAGCATGTTGCATGAACGTTATTATGTACTGACGGCCCTGTACAAATAGAATTCAGCTGTAGAGAAATGCTTTGTATGTTTAGTGTGCATCTTAGTACAATTTGCTCAAAACCAACCCCCGCTAAATTGAAATTGTGGGAGATTACTCCAGGTAACTGTGAACAGATTTGAAACTTGAACTTCAGGTCTTGTTTAGACTTGACGCCTAAACTAGTGAGCCCTATAGCCAGCCTTGAAACACATGAGAGATCCTGTACTACCTTGATTTTTCCCTCATCATTCTTTCATTTAAAGTGATGAAAGAGAATTTGCATTTGTGATTTCGTTCAGTGGACAAAGGATCTTTGCTGAAATTCTCGTGGTGCTCTTGCTTTACTGCACGGGGCTGGGGGCCAAGGAATAGGGCTCTCCTGTTTTAGGTCCTACTGCCTCTCTCTGGAACTTCTGCAGCCACCAGCTTGCCTTCCAAAGCTGTAATTACATCTCCGAGAAGACATCGTTCATGAGGCAACTCCTGGGCTTTTTTTTTTCAGATTGGAAAGCATAAGCAGCCAGGGAGATTTCAGAATGGAGATGTTGCGGGAAGGTCCGCGGGGGCGGTGGGGGAGGGGGGTTGTCAAAAAAGTCAGGACAGTGCAATCAGAGCCCTCCCTC